ACCTTCACCTCAACTCTTCAGATTAGGGAAGACGCCGGAAGGAGCCAAGAGCAGAGCTGAATTTTTAAGGCTGGGTGGAAATTGCCCAGATAAGGAGGGTGGGGAGGGCGGTGAGAAAGCAGGAAACAGACACCCCACTGGAAGGAGCAGCGATTCCGAGGCACAGCATGCCGTGGGATACCACGGTCCATCTGAGAAACTGCAGTAGCCTTGCCCTGCCTGGAAAGCAGGTCAGAGGACGAGGCAGGGACAGCGAGGCAGACAGCAGACCGTGAGGCGGGAGGACGAAGAGGAAGGAGAAGCCGGGCAGGGATGCAAGCCATCCGGAGAGCCCCGGATGAGAGAGAGGAACTGCAACACGCGAACACGTGCAGGGGCCTCTTCCCTAAAGTCTGAGAGAAAAGAGGAGGTGAAAACTGAGACTTTCGAGGGGGAGAAAAGGAAAGTCGACACCATCAAAAGAGTAACCGGCTTGCCAGAGGAAACAAATCAGAGAGCGAAGCAATGTCCCAATGGAGCGAACGCTCGCATGGAACATTCATCAACTATATTCCGCCCGTTTTATTCAACTCCAGAACACTGCTCTATCAGCTTTCCCTCTTTTTATTTATCTTCCTCTTCCAACGTGCTATATATTTTTGGACTCTTTCACCGTAAAATAGTTCAAGTGTAGTCATAGGTAATGAAAAAAGTGAAACTTAAATCAGTGACCGTTCGACTCTGGTGAAAGACTGAGTAGAAACGAGCTTATAAATACTGGCTACGGTGAACTCTGGAGATTTATTGTGGATCTTCCTGACTCCGTACATAAATAACTGAGACCCAGCTTAGACCTGAATGAGAGTAAAATTTGTTCTGACTTCCAAGAGAACGTCTGGAGTGTAGGTTTTAACTGCTTCTATTTATGTAATACGAACGAACTCGATTTGCCTCTAACTTTTCCATTTACATAAGCAATACAATTATAAATACTCTGGATTTATACTTTTGTGGTTGGGAGCATGGGTTCTCAACTGCAATCAAATCTGGGCCCTGTCACTAATTAGCTGTGCAGTCTTGGGCTACTAATTAACCTCTCTGTGCTTCGGTTTCTGCTTTTGTAAATGGGAATGATATCATACCGAACCTCGCAGGGTTGGTATACTAAAAGAATCAATGGTAAATGCTTAGGTCAGTTCCTGGCCCACAATAACCACTCAATAAACATTTACTACTATTTCCTGCCTTTTCTTTTCCAGTTTTCAATCCATATGAACCAAACCCATAAAGGCTACTTCCGTCTAGATACACACTTAGGAATAATCGGAAGGGGTCCCCTACAGTCGGCTTCCTCCAATGTAATGAACCTAAATAATCCTGATGTAGAGCTTATTTGTTAGACTTCCAGCTAATTTTTAGACTACCCTGTTTTTACATGTATACACACACAAATAAAAGATTAAATTATTGTGGAAAATACTGTTAGTTTCCTACTCAATGTCTATTCTCCCTCCTTCCTGAAGAAGCCCACTGTGCTCAGGGCAGCGATTGTGCTCAGTTAAAAATACTCACTTCTCCACACTTCCTTGCAGGTATGGTCACCAAGTATCCAACTCTGGGTCCCCTTTCTTTCCTTTATTTTTCTCCATAGTACCATTTAAATGGCATCAGCGTTTTCTATTCCATCTCCCTACGTGTGGCTCGTTTATCACAACATCCTAGCACCCAAAACGGTGCCCAGCATGCAAAGCCACGCACAGTGACAGGTGCTGCATGAAGAAATGAGTGGGACACAATGGAATGTGTTGAGCTGGTTTCGAGGAAAGCTTTTTAAAGAATGTGCCTGGCACCTTTTGTCCTTTTACCTTCCCTTCATCCTGTGTCTCCTTCTCACCTAGAAGATGCAGCGGCCACCTCAAAACCAAGAGGACAAAACAAAAAACAAAACAAAACAGAAGACGGTCCGGGTTCCAGAAGGCTTACTTAAGCCTCAGTGCCAACCACGTAACAAGAATGTATTTACTGACCCCCGGATGTGTTCATGCCACTATTTGTCACGTATTCCGTTATTCATAGCTAACCTCGTTCCTAATAGATACAGCTATAAAGATATTTCCGAGGAAAACAAGCCCTGCTTTCTGCATATTCTTGAGACTGTGAGTAACAAGAAATTTAACTAAAGTTCACCTTTCAGCCAGTTGAGACAAATCCAAGATTGGTGTCATAAAGCAGACAGTCTCATCAAAAGCCAACGTAAATAGATATAAATAGAAGGGGTTCGGAGGAAAGCTTCCTTGGTCTTCTTTATTATGTTATCAGTGAAAGCAAATGGAGAGACCAGACAGATTGTAAGAAAACAAAGATGAATGGGGCTTTTGTTAAACTGGTGAGGGTCAGGGCTGTTCTCTATCTATCTATCTATCTATCTATCTATCTATCATCTATCTATCTGTCATGCAGGTCAGGCAAAGCTACAGGCCAAACAGAGCCCCAGCAGCCCCATTTGGCAGGGTATCCAGGAGCAGTAACATCAGGTATATTAAGACTTCTCACTGCTTGTGTCCTCTACGAAAGACCCACTTCCGCCATCACTTTTGGTCAGAGCTATATTCCTGTAATTTAAGACTTTAAACTGGTTAAATGCTAAATACCACTGGGAAAAGTGATGTATTTTTTAGAAATCAGACATCTTCATCAAACCGCCTGATACCTTCCTCTGAACAGGTTTTAACTGGGGGAGAAGAGAAGGAGGAAGCTGTGCCCAGGCCCCTGAGACAAATGGGGTGGGGCGAGGGGGACGTGGGTCTGGACGGCAGGAGCCACTGGACCGCCACTGTAGCACTGCCCACTGCCATCGACGCCTCTGCTTCATGGGCAGTTGGCTGTAGGAATTTGAATTGTTCACTTTTGTTTACTGAATTTTCTTGCCTTTTGAATAAAAAAGCAGAAGAGAACTTCTGCTCATAAAACAACACTGCTGACTCAGAAAGATATTTTGCTTGGCAGACGCTAACTAACCAGACACAACCAACTGGTTTGCTGGGTTATCCTCCAGGGCTTGCAAAGTTACTAGTAAGCATTTGATCTGAAGAATAGCAGAACTTTGCATTTCAAAGTATTTGCATTTTCAACTACATAAATACAAAGAATTCAATATAAATATGGTCTCAAACCTACTCAGATTACAGTGTGACCTAGTATGTCCAGAGTGATATCTCAATCTTTTTAGAAAAACCTTTCTGGAAGATTTAAGCCAACATAATGATCAATTTAAAAACAAGTATCACCATTTTGTAAGCCACAGTAAAAGCTGATTCAGCTAATTTTCAAAAACTGCTGATGGGAAAATGAAGAAGAAAATGTATTGGAACTTATGAATTACTTAAGAACGCCTAAGTTTAAGAAAACCCCATAAGAGAAAAGAAACAAAATGGCAGTATTACAAATGAAGAGGTTGGGGTTCTTAACAGCTTCTGTGTATGTGTGTTTCTAATTTTTTTTTTTTTTTTTTAACCTCAGAGGAGGCTGTCAGTCTCTCTCTTGGTCACAAGATTCATGCCATATTTTACTAAGTGAAGGATATAAACATGGAAAGAATGACTACCCACAACCAAAGGGAAGAAATGCCCAGCCTAAGATTAGTACAAATTTGGTGAGTCACTTCCTCTTAGGAAAGCAAACGTTTGTTGTTTCCTGAAGGATTCAGAGAGGACACCTGAGTTCTCAGCTTGAATCATTCCATACAGGTAGCAAACTTGGTCAGGTGAACCTAAAGCCCATTCATTCAATACTTCTGCCCACGCTCAGTTCAACATCACCGTGGTACCTCCAGTTTCAAAATCAATGTCAAGTCAAATCTCCCGGCTATTTCAGCCTCCACATTACTAAGTTGCCGGGAGGGCAGATGTAACTAAAACAAAGAAAATTCACGTTAATTGCACATTTATCCTCTAACGTTGAATGGACAACAGCCTTGGTTTTCTTTTGCTCATCACCCCCAACATTCCTCAGTCCTGAACCAAATCTGCTTCACCTCTGAAATGGAGAACTGAAGCTTTGGCAAAGCCGCCCGCCCTCCCTGAAGACGCTTCTGTGCCAGCAACACACACACGTGGATGGATTAGGCAGAGCTGTGCTGTGAAGCACACGCACGCTCTCCCAACGTGTGCTTTTCATTCCAGAAATACTTTATTCCTAAACCACTTCTATGCCTCTCTTGGCATGAAACAGTACAAATGGCTCCGTGCCAAAGGAAGTGTCTGTTTAAATAGGTGGACTTTCTTAAAATTTCTTTACCTCAGAAGATCATAAATAGAACATTCTGGCATAATTATAATGGAATAAAGTAGAAAAAAGAAAGGTTATAGGAAAAAAAAAACATTTTTGTCTTTGTTTTGTTTTAAAAGTTGTCTAAAAGAAATACTGGAAATACAAGATATAACATAAAATTATCTCCCATGAGAGTAAAAAAGATCCAAGTTAGGACAAGGAAGCAAAACTCTTACTTTTAGCAAGAAAGGTTAGTGAGCATTTGCTGCCTTCTGTCACAAGCATTTATTCCTGTTTTAAGGTCACCCACCAAAGCAAAATGTAAAAGACGGGTTTCTTAATCACTGTTTTATTCTGGAATATATTTTATTTTTGTTCCCTCCTTCTTTATGACTTTCATCTTGTATTAAAAACTAAGGTAGAAGAAAACTGACTTTGGTTGACTTAACTACCCTACCCTTTCCTTTTCTCCATGCTCACCTCCAGGTATTTATTTAGGGTTCACTCACAATAAGTAGTAAGGCATCAATAACATTTCGTAGAATCATGAAGCATCACCCATTGAATTATGATTGGAAAAAAAAAAAACCCTCTTATCCATCTACAAATATGTACATAAACAACACGTACGGTAAATGACATCGAGCCCCATAGTAAATACACAACACGATCGCCTCTCTGACTTCCATCAGGAGGGACCTAAAGATACCGTCTTAAAAATTCAGATCCTGGACAAAGGGAGGGAAACTTACTTTCTTTCCACTTCTGGTGTTGAGACGGCACTACAGAAACCCAGCGACTCCTAGGAGAGAAAATTCACAGCGTCATTATAGGCAGAGCAGCAGGCTTCATCTGATTTGTACAGAATATCACTTAAAAAAAAGGAAAAAAGGCAGAAGCAAAAATAGATGATTAAAGTCATTGTGCTTACTTCGATCTGGGACCGCAGCTGAAGTGACGTGGGGCTGGCATCGGGTTTCTCCTAAAACAGAACAGATGCTGGTTTAATGAGACTTCCAAACGTGGCATACACCAGAAAGACAAATAGATATGTAAGAAGAGATGGGGGAATCTGGGAAATGCTAGGGTACAGTGGGAGGAGATGGTGGAGATAAATAGATTTTCTGGAAAAACTGAAGTATTTTTAAAAGGAGAGCTCTAGCGTCCTAAAATTATTCTAGCCTCTTAAAACTGAACCATCTTCCAAACTTCACCACTTGAGACTACTGACAATTTTACTGCAGAAGGAAAAAGCACAATCTAATTGAAGGATATTGACTGTTAATGGTGAAATAAATCTCTAGATGCAATTAGATGGTCACTAGGACACAGAATTTACAATGACTCATTTGTGTTCAGGTCCAATCTGATTTTAAAGTTCTAAATATAGTCAGGGTATTTAGTAATGTAGGGCTAGTTGTAAGTGCCTATAGGAAAGTGGAAAGTTAACTTGATATTATCTTGCACCCCTAAGAATCACCATGCCCTTACAATACAAATGAATTAGCCTAGATGGAAATTAAAAATAAATCTTAGCACCCAGTTAAAAGATGAAATAAATGCAAGACAAGAATACACTGAAAAGTCCTTAAGTCACAAAGAAGATGCAAGGGAATCAAACAACTTTAGAGATGAAGCCATGTAGTATAAAACTCGTTTTACAATTTAAAAAAACTAACCGTTTGAAAGAAAAAAAGGGAAATATATTGAAATAAGCTTTGACAGCAAAATAGGAACTTGCACTATCAGAAGTTTTAAAATGTACTGTGGGAAAATACGTGTTATACTAGTAGACAGAGCAGCAAGTACCACACTTATATTTTTTATAAACAGAAAAATTCTAACTCTAATGGGTGCTAATGTGGAGCATGGTCCACAGTCCAGGGGTGCCCCCCACCTGATCGCCAAGTCATAGACAGGACAATGGGCAGTTTTAGAGGATGGAGTAATATCACTAACATTATACAAGTCTGCAATATCTGATTGATTATGAGTTTTCCGATTATCCCGTTGTGTTGTTATACCCCTCGGGACTGCACATGTACTATTTGAAGATCGTTTTGTGAGTCTCAGATAACTTTTAGGAAATGGGAGCAGACCAAATTACTAATTCTAACTTGCTAGACGTCTAATTATTCAGCTTATTAAAGTTGCCTATTTCATCATTCGTGATCATAAAACTAGACCAATATTTTAAAAACTTAGCAATGAAATAGTAAAACAATTGTCACAGTAAATTCATAAATGTAAATAGATAACAGGAATCCAGCATAGACTATAAAATGAACGTGCTGGGGTGAGTCAACCTGAGAACTGGATGCTTTTGGACAAAAAAGACTGAAAAAGTATTGTAATGGACTAGCAACCTCTCACCCCTAGTCCCCAGGGCCTTATTTGTTATGAAAAAATACAGCGGCCTGAAGCCCCATGGAACTTCTGTCTGGTTAACAGCCTGGTTTTTACTGACACCTTAGTTCAGTTCATTACAAGACCAACTTATATTTCTGTCCCAAACTTGATACACCATGTTTACAAAACAATATAACCAAATGTTCAAGTTACATTCCGATTCCAATTGGTATGACGTTGGACTCAGGTGCACTCAACAAAAGGAGGTCCCTGGTACGTAGACCAATTGTGATGCCCCAGTAGCTGACCACTTAGCACTGCACAGAGAAATTTACAAACTTAAACAGCAGAAGGTAAGCAAAGGTATAGTCTGCCCTTTTTCCATATTAAGTCTTCCTGTTCAGGAGTCAACATGGGAGTCTCAGAATGATAACAATATTCTATTAGTTCCTCTGACATTTTCTCTGAAATTGACTCTTCAACACCCAACTCCAGTCCATCCAATTTCCATAACCATCCCTCCCCCGCAAAAAAAGCCTGATTCATCTCTCTCCCTCTCCTCAATTCTTAACTTTTCTTCAAACTCTAAGTGTCTACCTCACTAAGTAATAGTTCATGACAGGAAATTTTCTGCTAGTATTGTATATTTTTACCTGCATTTTTTCCAATAAAATTTTTTTATTGAGTGCATCATTTGTCACTCAATACCATATACATGACATGTATGGTATAACAGGCAAAATGCACCAGTTCCTGCACACAAAGCATGTGCTTGTTACCGACTGTATTAAATGTTTGATGATCAGGAAGAAACACTCTAAACAATTCATTTTCACTTGTTAGTTTAATATACATTTGACTTTGGTTTAGCTACATTTTAGGAAGTAGGTGGGGGGTTTTGAGGCATACTGTATTAAAACTCATCCCTTTAAAATAATGGACCCGGTTGATGTTTCCATGTAGAACATCTGTTTTTATCAGGAACAAGACATGTTAAACAGGGGATTTTTTATAGTCATGTTTCCAGTGTGGTTTTTTCCCCCCCAGAATACGTCATCAAGTAATGTTTTAACAAATATCAACTTCATCTCTTAAGGAAAGACTACCTTCATTGTTAAGGGAAAACATATCCTGAAGTAAAAACATTACACAAATGAGAAGAAGCTTCTAAAATTATCCACTAAGTAAAGGATCTACGTGATGCCTGGAGGGAAAACAGAATGGACCTTTGGGGCAAAATTCCATTATTATGACACTGAGGAATGTCACATGATATCAATGACAAACGTGCAGAGTAATGACTAATTACTATCACGTATGTATGAATATTATGAAATATTTAAGACATATCATATGTACAATAAAAAAAATACAGCAAAACCTTGTATTTTTCAGGACACACCACCGAGCTTGAGATATGGAACATTACAAATAGCGCTGGCAGGTGTCTGACATACACTTGGACGAAACACCTGTGTGCAGAGTATGAAACGAATCTTGGTAGAATTGTCATGCATATATGTGGAGGAAGTGCTGAACAACTTTTTATTCTGTTTATCACGCAAAAGCAAATTCGACTTTTTTTTTTTACGGCACAATGTGGAGTGGAAAACCACGATGGAGTCAGAAGGAACACCAACTACGTGAAGCAATAAAGGGTGTTGATTACATAATAAAGAAGCAGAAATTCAGGTCAGAATAGAGAAAGACTCCTTAACATCTCCTTCCCTGTCCGGACTAGTAGGCCACACCCTTTTCTGCTCCCAATTCAACCAGTGTTGGGAGGGAGGGGCAGGAAGCCATGGTTCTGAAGTTCTAGCCTGGAGAAGGAAGTCTTGGTGAAGGGGAGGCGGAATAAGAAGTAATGGGAGTCACGTGACTGTCCAGCTACAAACTACTTTATTCATGCAATAACTGATGGTCCACAATACAACTCCTGATTCAGAAGTCATCATGTTAATGAAACACAAGTCACTGAGTATATATGTATCTTTTGAGCGTGTTATGAAAAGAGATGATCGCTAAGAAGTAAGAGTCTTCTCTCCCTTATTAACATATTCTGACCATTACTACTGCTGTGTACAAATCATCTCAAATAGTCACAAAACCGACAAGCATTTTATGATTGTTCACAGATTGCGTGGAAGAGAATTCAGAAAGGGGATAACAAGAAAGGCTTGTCTCTGCTCCACAGTGTCTGGGGCCTCAGCTGGGAAGATTCAAAGAATGGGGGTGACTTGATTATGGTAGGGGCCACAATAATTGGAAAGCTTGCTCACTCACACGTCTGCAGGCTGAGGCTGGCTAACAGCTGGGACCGAAGTTGGTCCTCTCAGCTGGAACACCCATGTTGCTGCTTGGATCTCCTCACTGAGGAGGTTGAGTTTCAAGAGCGAGCATAACAAGAGAGCCAGGCAAAAGCTGTATTACCCTTTTTAACATAGCCTCATATGGTGTCACTTCTGCTGAAGTCACAAGACCTCCCAGATGCAAGAGGGTGCACAGGTCCCATCTCTCAGTGGGAAGAGTGTCAAAGTCTCACAGTATGAACAGCACTGGGATGTCAGATATACTGAGGTCTCACTTTGGAAATCAGTCTGCCATACTGGCTGACAAGGAGATGGGGAGCTCACCTAAGTTTTCAAAACAAAGAATGAGATGAGACCATTTATTCATGACAATGTCCATAAGGATTTTTTTGTGATTTTTACAGTTTACTCAAGTAGCATATCTTGGCAATATATTTCAACTTTAACCTATCACTTAAAGGTTGAGGCAATATATTTCAACCTTAATCTTGGCAATGTATTTCTTGAAATATATTTCAACCTTAATCTAGGCAATATGTTTCAACCTTAACCTAGCACAATGTTTTAAGCTAAAATTATTATCTCTCTCTTATTTCAAATGTATTATTATAGAAAATCTCAAATATACAAAAGTAAAGAGAACCATATAATAAAGTCCCAAATTCATATTATCCAGCTTCAAAAATTATCTACTCGTGGTTAATTTTGTTTTACGGATACCTTCACCCATGCTTCAGCTCCATCCCATTTTACTTTAAAGAAAATCCAAGATACCATATCATAAATTATCAAAATTTTTTATATTAAGGTTTCACTATGGGAGTTTCTTATGTCCTAACTGTGGTTCAATCTTAAGCAAATGGCTCAGTCATCAAGAATTTGACTCTTTCCTAGCACTGGAGGACTTTCTCTGGTCATTGCAGAAAAAAAATCATATTCAACAAATTTAAAAATTCCATCTAAATGCTGCAAAAGAACATGAAAAAATGCATTCAAAATTGAACATGACCAATGACTTCACTATTTCTCAAGTATAAAGATATCATCCTAATACTTTTTTGAGTATGATAGGCTCACTGACTTAGCACCTTTGTGGAGTGTGATAAGCACTATTTAGAGAGAAATAACTCTAAAATTTGGTCCATGTTCAAAATTTGGCCCACGTTCATTCAATATGCAAAGAGCCACAAAACACTAGTGGCTGAATTTATAATTGTAAGTTAGAGTATTACAACTTAAATTTTGTAAAATAAATTTAAAAATGAAACTGGATGCATAAAGTTTTATCTATAGATTAAACTCTTCATCATTAAGCCACATCTGC